GAGAGAGAGAGAGAGAGAGAGAGAGAGAGAGAGAGATTCTGAAACTCGTTGCAATACCTCAGATTTAACAAACTCGTATTTCTTAGGATTAATTTTGGAGTTGCCTTCTCGCAAAGTTTGTAGAACCATTCGTAGATGTTTCGCATGATCCTCGAGATACACTATTATGAACTGATCCAACCATTGACGAAACAATTGATTCATAGACCTTTGAAAAGTAGCAGGTGCAATGGTCGATCTGAAAGTCATAACCACGAACTCATAGTGACCATACTTCGTTCGGAAGGTTGTCTTGTGTTGTTCTTCAGTTCTTACTAAAGTATTTACATCCCTACAATTGATCCAACAAGTCGTCAATGCGAGGAAGAGGTTCAACGTTCGTAACGGTGATAGAATTCAACCCACGATAATCGATACGAAGTTTAAGTTATCCTTCCTTTTTGGTCACGAACAAGACAAGAGCACCATAGGGAGAGGAACTTTTTCAAATCCATTCTTTCTTGCAGTTGTTTCTTTAGTTCTTCTAGATCCCTAGGAGACATTCAGATAAATGAGAATCTTTCGTGAATGATCTTGGTAGTGTGTTTGATAGCACGTTCAATTATTGTCGTAGGTTTCGGCTGCAAGTCCTTAAATTCATTTAGAAGTTTTTCTATAGGAGGATAGGATTAAGAACACTCACCGACTCACTTCACGAGTATCATCATTACGTCCTGCGCCAACTTATTTTTCGTGACCATACTCCTGTGAGTACCATCATTACGTCCTGCGCCAACTTATTTTTCGTGACCATACTCCGAAAAGCAGGAATACTCATACAACAAAAAAACAATGATGAGTCAGAATTAGACTTGTGAAACAATTTAATTGTTTTCAGGTTAGAATTTGCATCCTTTAGGTTGACAATTTTGAATTTGATTTATGGGTCGGCCTCCTCATCCCAATCCATTCCCATAATCAATTCAAAGGGCAAGTTGTTCTCTACGAGGAAGTATATGCTTTCCTTCCTTCGTTCGAAAATAACACTTAACACGACTAACATATTGAGAGAGTAATCGTGCTTTTATTCGCAAGCATAGACGTGATAGGTCGCAGTAGGTCCTGCACACGCGTTTCGAGATGCAACTTCTACAATTAAAATATTACAAAAACGGCTAAACGTCATATCGCACGGCCTGCATTGCAGGCTGGTCAAACAGTCACCACCGGGGACGGCGTGGATGGCAGGCTGATCAGAAAGTTTTATGATCTCCTTGCGATCCGGGCCGTCGTCGGTGGTGACCTGCCAACAATTTGGGCCGTGCGATATCGGTTTGTACCGGTTGCTACCGGAAATGCCGAATTGCAGGCCCGCTCGTTTTTTTTCTCCTCGGTCCACCCTTGAAGCGGCCCACCCCTCCAATCGCCCGCTTGTCCGCCCGTTTTTCTATTCTCGGCCCAACCCTCCAATTGCTCACCCACCCCTCCAGTCGCTCACTTACCGGGTTGGTACCGGAAGCGCCGAATCGCCCGCCCGCCCACTGGTTCGTGAGTCCGTGTTCTACGTGAATTCGGTGCTTGGTGCTTTGTGGATTGCGTCGCAAATTTAGTGTGCTACATGCTTGGTACTTTCGTGATACATTGTGGATTTTGTGCTTCATGCTTCGTGCTTCGTCGTTGCTACTTTGTGGATTCAGTGCTTGGAGCATCATGAATTCGGTGCTTGAGGCATTGTGGGTTTGTTGTGAATTCCCTGCATGGTGCTGTGCGCTTCATGGTTCGTGAATCATTGGTCCATGCGACTTGGTGGTCCGCGCTCCGTGCTTAGTGCTTTGGTGCTTCGTATTTTGTGAGTTGGTGTTTTCGTGAATCGGTGCTGCTTGGATTGGTGGTTCAGTCGTGGATCGTGAGTTCCTGGTAAGTGCTCCGACGTGAGCTTCGTCGTGGATTCCTGCTAGAACGAGTGTTTCTCCTTCACCTCGAACCCACACCACCAACCCTTTTTGGAAAAACCGTTAAAAAAAACTTGCATTGCTTCTCGTTTTTGGGGAGGAGGTAGGTAATGGGGGGATGGGGGTCACTGCGGGCAAGTGGGTCAGGCTAGAAGAGGGGGGGGGGGGGGGGGGGGGAGAGAGAGAGAGAG